TTCTCACCCCCCTCTCAGACGTTTTCGGGAAGTGTACTCATCAGTAGAGGACATCGACCTGTACTCCGCCGGGATCAGTGAGCGGCCCGCCCCTCGCGTGCATGTGGGTCCACTCTACGTGTGTCTGCTGGGCCGGACATTCAGGGAGCTCAAGTACGGGGACAGGTTCTGGTATCAGAACATTGAGGACCCGGTCACTTCCTTCACGGCTGATCAGGTCAGTGGTTGGTGTGTGTGTGTGTGTGTGTGTGTGTGTGTGTGTGTGTGTGTGTGTGTGTGTGTGTGTGTGTGTGTGTGTGTGTATGTGTGTGTGTGGTCATAAACTGGTCACTTCCTTCACGGCACGTCAGCTGGGAGCTCAAGTACGGAGACAGGTTCTGGTACCAGAACATTGAGGACCCCGTCACTTCTTTTACGGCTGATCAGGTCAGTGGTGACAGGTTAGGGAACGTTGTCTAATCACCATCTTATATTATCTTGTCTTATCTTGTCTTGTCTTGTCTATCTTGTCTTATCTTGTCTTGTCTTGTCTTATCTTGTCTTGTCTTATCTTGTCTTGTCTTATCTTATCTTATCTTATCTTATCTCATCTTATCGTGTCTTGTCTTATCTTATCTTATCTTATCTTATCTTATCTTATCTTATCTTGTCTTATCTTATCTTGTCTTATCTTACCTCTGCCAAGAGTGAAATGCTCGCTGCTAAAGGGATTTGAAAACATCTTATCTTATTTTGTCTTGTCTTATGTTATGTTATGTTATGTTATCTTGTCTTATGTTATGTTATGTTGTGTATGTTATATTATGTTATGTTATGTTATCTTATCTTATTTTATCTTATCTTATCTTATCTTGTGTAATCTTATGTTATGTTAATTTATCTTATCTCATCTCATCTCATCTCATCTCATCTCATCTTTTCCTCCCTCCGTCAGGTAGCAGAGATCAACCGTATGAGCCTGGCCAGGGTCCTGTGTGACACGGTGACCGGCATGACGGAAGTTCAGAGGAACGTCTTTCGGCTTGTCTCCCCTCGCGACCCGCTCGTCTCCTGTGACGTCATCGACGACATGGATGTCGAGGGCTCGTGGTAACCATAGCAACGACATACACTGAGGGCATTTGGTAACCACATCAACGATACACTTTAAAAAGCTCGTGGTAACCATAGCAACGATACACTTTGATGGCTCGTGGTAACCCTAGCAACGATGTATTTTAAGGTTCGTGGTAACTATAGCAACTGCGTACAGTGAAGGCTCTTGGTAACCATAGCAACGGCATGCATTGATGGTGCGCGGTAACCATAGCAACGACATTTCACGATCCCAGTGTTTTCTTGTTGTATCTCCATTTTTAAAGTCACATTTCCAAAGTTAAAAAAAAATGGAGATACGACAAGAAAGTACTGAGGTCGCGATACATTCAGGGCTCGTGGTTGCCATAGTAACTGCTTACATTGAGGGCTAGTGGTTACCATAGTAACTGCATACATTGAGGGCTCGTGGTTACCATAGTAACTACATATATTGAGGGCTAGTGGTTACCATAGTAACGGCATACATTGAGGGCTAATGGTTACCATAGTAACGACATACATTGAGGGCTCGTGGTTACCATAGCAACGGTATACATTGAGGGCTCGTGGTTACCATAGTAACAGCATACATTAGGTTTTAGTGACTGTAGTAACAAGATACATTAGGTTTTAGTGACTGTAGTAACGAGCTTCAAGCTCCGGGAGATATAAAGAGAAAATGGTAAAAGAGGCTCATCGTTTACCTCTCAATATTTCTGTCTTATCGTCTGTTTGTTTTTACGTTCTATCTATCTATCTATCTATCTATCTATCTATCTATCTATCTATCTATCTATCTATCTATCTATCTATCTGTCTGTCTGTCTGTCTGTCTATCT